GAAACTAATTAAGGAAATGTCAAACATAATTAATAAAACAGGTTTAAGCTGCAAAACATTGTCAATTGAATGAATGAGGAGGCATTGGCTCCCATTGTTCAGGCTTTATTTAGGTCTTGTGTTTAGCTTGTTCCCTGCTCCAGAATGCTCTCTCCCCTCCTCACTCCCTCCGCCACCAATTCCCTGAGAGGGGGAAAATAAATTTGCTTGTCTCTCCACTGACTGTAGAAATTAATTGCTGAAATCTTGTCCCATCCAAGTGTTACATTCACACGCAGGACATTAACATAACTAATTTGAAAGAGCTCAAATGACTGCATAATGGAGCTCCGTCACCATGCATGACAGTCGCTGGTCATACCAAATTAGCTTGGCTTTATAATTGAAAAATTTCCCCCTCCTTTCTTATTTTTACATCATCTTCCCTCCACTTTTTACACATACTTTTTCACGTCTTCCTTGCTCCCTGCCCTCCTGTCGTATCTTTCCTTCTTGTTCAGTTTTCCTGATAAGAACAAAGGTTTTATAATTTACAAAAAGAGTGCTTGACCTATAATTAGAGAAGAGGAGTGAGGGGAGAGGAGGGGGAGTACCAAGTGGTGGCGGCAGAGTCAGATCCTTAGTCCTGGTAATGATGCTGGAGACCTTGTGGCCCCCAGGGAGGCAGAAGAATAATGGGATGGGCTATTTTTATGGGGGAGCAAAGCAATGGGCCACCAGCCGCTGGGATGCCGGTGCCTGCGTATGGTGCAGAGCAGCAGGGGCTAGCAAGGGGCTAGTGGGGGGCAAAGGAGGGTGAATACTCAACCTGCCAGATTGCCCGCTCTCAGCCCAGCCCATCAGTTCTGTTTGTCAGCCTGATGCACCGCTGTCGGCCTCCGTGCCCCCATGCCAGCCACAGACAGAGAGAATGTATGTGTGGGTGGCTGGGTGGGTTAGGGTGGGGGTGAAAACATCTGCCACTCAGAGGAGAACAGAGGGCTTAAAGATACAAGGTGAGGGACATAAAACAGTAAAGAGATGCATTTTCCTGAGCACGTGTATTAATTATGAAGACCTGGATTTAAATACTACTTTGCAAAGACATTTTTTAGCCTTTGAAACGGGTTGGAAGAAGCACTCTGCATATGAAAGGATCAGACTGAAACTGTTAAACTAACCAAATAATCAACTTTTATAATCTAAAGTTTTTCTGTTTTCTCAAACTAAAATACATTTTAGATGTAGATACTTTTTAGTGTTGTTTACTGTTTGACCCAAACCTGGTGATAACAGATATCTTTAATAATGCGCCTGTGTGCCGAACAACACAGCAGACCTACAGCTGCCAATATTTTTTTGTGCTTCGGTTCAACATACTCTAACCACTGCTATTTATCATACTCCCACGTTACAATTCTCAAGAGTTGGAGTAGCAAAAGAAACAAAAACAGAAAAACAAAAAGTACGAGAAGAAAAGGATATAATAAAACACAAAACTGCAAAATAAAATAGGCGCAGTCTTTATTCCCATTGCATTTTCACTCTCATCTTTATTTCATTATTCCACTAAGAATTCTTATCCCAGCTAAAAGTAAAGCTCGACTGTGTTTATATATTTTTTTTTAAATACGTAAAAAGTTAAAGCTCTTCTGTAAACCCACAGACACTCAAGTGAAATATAGTTGATAAATTTTGCTTAAAGTTTCTGTATTGTTTTTGAAACTTGTAAGCAATAGATCCAGCAGAACAATACATGATAGTATATCATATATAAGATGGGAAATGACAGACCGGGCCACAGGTCTAACACAGGCAACAAGTCAAAATGATATATTTAGGATAAATTACAAGTTAACCGAACAAGCACATCTGTGGCAGAAAGCCGAGGAGATTTCGAACTCATATATACATATATCTGTATAACCATATACAATATCCTTTGTGGCTAGGATTAATGTAAAAACTAGTATCATTTGTGGAGAAAAAAGGTGAGGTGAGACAAACAAATAGTTAGTTTTAGGTGTTTTAACATTTTATGATACGTTTTGTAACATCACAGTGTTAAAACTGCCATAATCCTAAAATTCTCTCAAAACTAATATTTTACACTGGTGTTCAAAAAAGTGAAATATCCATTCACCGTCTTCTGCCACTTATCCAATTCAGGGCTGCACAGGCTGGAACCTATCCTAGGGCCAGAGACAGGACACAGCCAGGATAGGTGCAGTCCAGCTTTTGTCGCAGAAACCTGGATCAGCCAATTAAAATCTGTTCCCAAAATCAGTCTGAAATGCATAACATTATTGCATGTATGTGATGATTCATGAGATGAAATCAGCTGATACTGTGCTTCTAGCTACACGAGTATGCTCTGCAAGAGAGTAATCCTTTGCTTCCATGAGCATGTAAAGTTGTGGCAACAAACTTACACATCTTGCAGTCAGAAAGTTCAGAAACTGTTATTGTTGCACACACACTGAACTAACCTGCGTGTCGAGGATCATTGCTGATGATGAGCTTGCTCTCAGAAACTAAAGAGCAGTCTTGACTGGAAGAGTCTGCAGTCTCTGCCATGAGAACTTGTCAGAAGCACGAGCAAGAGCATCATTTTCTTTGACATTCATAGGATTGTGCACTGTGAGTTTGTCCTCCAGGCTGTCAAAGCTGAGTTACACTGCAACATCTTAAAGCGTCTTAGGGAGAACATTCGCTACACACAACCTGAACTGTGGTGCATGTCAATAATAGCCTGCCGGAAAGGCACGTTTTAATTCATACACACATATTTTTCGATACTGCCATGTTAAATGTAAACCGTTTACACAAACGCATAATTGAATTTTAAAATTAGACACTTAAAAGACAAAAACATATATAATCTATGTAAATGTAAATATTAATATACATATTAAAAATTTCTTCATAATAGTGACATTTCTAAGGCGAGTGGCTTTCCACCATAATGTATGAGCGAATGGTTAAATTACAGTATTTGTGTATTTAATGTAAATGATAAAACATTATATTATTATGGAACATATGCAGAAAACATAAAAAAACACCATGCTTCATGTTTACTAGACTCATAATTGCTACAGTTTTGTTTTATAAAAAACATAGAATGAGAGTCTAAAAAAAAGATGCTATTTGAGGCAACAACAATCTCTTCTTTTAATTTTATGTATCGTTAAAACATGGTGGTTTAATTAATTTCATTTAATAAATTTTGTTTATATTATTAATGTGAACACTGTAAATGTACATAGACCAGTATTGAGCAGCACTTCATAAATATTGTGGTTGGTCCATTGAGCAGTATGTCCTGAATCTAGCTAGAGGAGGTAATTTCACATGAATTATTACCTAATGCACTTGAAAGGTTATAAAATGTCTGCATATTAAAAGTGCAGTTTATTTCTGCTGCCCAACTTGAATATAAAGTTACAGTCTATTTGTTGATTGCTTGATCTTAGTTTGTAGCAAACCAGCCAAAGTAGTGGAGCAGTTCTGCATTGTATGCTCGAGTAGCACATGAACACGTAGATGACTGCATAAATGATGATGTACATAATCATATTTGCAGCTAATTTCTCTAAACACATATCTGAATATTCAAAATCAGAATCTAGAAACTGGAAGCTTTGTGGGTTAATACTTTGGGTTGGTTTTGGGTGTGGGTGTACAGTTTGGAGTGGAGTGAAACTGAGGAACACAACTCTTTTTAAAATGTATCTAAATTCTAAACAGTGAGAGGCTCATGGAATAGGTAGTCAGTTATCCTTTATCCAGAAATCTGCTGGCCAAAACATTGGCTGTCACCTCCAGAGGTTGAATCAACAGATCTTCACCAATGATTTAATGAGACTGACTAGTAGAAAACTTTGATTCGTGTATGTGTACTGTATTCTGCAGAAAATCTACCCATAGTCTGAAGATGTAGTATTTTAACATCAGTCAAAGTAAAGAAAAGTGTGTGCTCTACAGTTGTTTGATTAGAAACTGGTTAATTAGGGACAATATCTATGTATCAGTGCAACGTAGGTGCACAATAGGTGTTGTATTCTGGCAAAAGGAGCAATCCCTCAAATGTTTTGAACATTTTCCTCAAAGTTTCCCAAGTGATATTTCACTTTTCATGTTATTTTCTTTTTTCCCCACATTTGCCTGTGACTCTTTCATACAACCCGATCCTTAAAATGCCAAGGGTCACGTGTCAAACATATGCAGCAAGGATTGCAATTTATTACCCCACATTTGCCTGATAATTTTTCTCTTTTGACAAGCTTAGGTAAATCATAAAGCCTACTCTATAATGTATGAGGGCTCCGCTGGCTTGATGAGTAAAGTCTGTTGCTATTGGCTGTTACCCCTGTGGTGTTTGAGTTCCCATAAGACCAATAAGACTTGTCTGTATTCTAGTGTGACTCGAATCACTGCAGGAACAGGTAAGGTCCAGGTATTTATAGTAACTATATGCAAATGGATGAGTGCCATGCTGGACTCTTAGTGCAGAGGTGACAGTTAAATACATGTACATAGAAGGAGAAATATATGGGCTTCGCCCTCTCTTTGAGACAAGTCTAATCAGTTAGGATTGCCTTCTCTCCTCATTTCATTTGAATATATTCAGCTTGGACTTATTCTAAGGAAGTGTCTCCCATGTATATTATTCCTTCCCGCTGAAGGCTCATTATTTTACAGCAGGGTGTGTGAGAGGCGGCCCCAGTCTCTGAACTCTCTGTCGAGGCTGTATTAATCAAACTTCACGCAGCGGGAAAGGGTCCACCCGCTGACATGGCACTGCTCACTCTACACTTGAGGACAAAAGGGAAAACACACAACCTGAGCCATTACTGTGAAACATCTTCAGCTTTTAAGCATTACCACTTGTCATTATTTCAACAGCAGTAGCCACATGCGAGTCCAAAGATTGTCTCAAAGAATTTGAAACGACCGTTGACGCGTTTCGGCCGACATGTCATATAATAACATTGTCCTCTTCTTCCTTTTCACTACAGTGGATAACAAGATCTTTGCATGGGGAAATGGCACCAGTGGACAGTAAGTAAATGTCAGAAGTAACGTTATCTGTCTTGCTTTGATGGTGTGTGAAGGATGAGGATGAGTAGTGATACTTTGGGGAACTACTCATCTGTCTGTGAAGCTATCAGTTTGTTCTGCCCACTGGCCATTCAAACGTCTTATTGTTTTCTGCCGGTGTACTGCATGGCTGTATATTAATCGGACGAAAGAGGCTAGCTGACAGACAAACAAACTCAGACATAGTTATAAACAAACAGAAGTTGTTTATCTTTTGATGAGCTTCCTTGTTAAAACTTCTCCAGCCAGGAGCCAGTCTGGCTCTAATGACATTTAAGGGCATGGGGACTACAGTGATTCAGTGGCCCTCAAGTACTCAAAAAGCTGCATGGCAGACCTCAGAGAAATACATAAAAGGAACAAAGGCATCACTTCTCACTCTCTCATCATTTCCCATTGTCCCTTAGTCTCCTTCTCTCAATCTCCATTTCTCTGTCTGCGGTTCTCTCTCTACTGATGATGCTTTGACCTGTCTAAGCAGGTCGGGGCTCTCTAGTGGGGCGCTTATAGTTGGAGGAGCCTATAGTTGGAGTTCTGCAACACCCACTTGCAGAGCAAAGGGTGAGCATCTGTGTTACACAACTGGCACTCTGATATCTGAAAATTCCTCAGCTCTCCTGTGTGTCTCACTGGAGGCGAGAGAGGAGAAGAGTACGAGGGAGCTGTGTAAATTTAAACTGGCAAACTTTCTGATGGAAATAGCTGTGACCCCAGAGTGGTCTTGTCTTGAGTTGAAGCATTGTTGTAATCAATACAGGCTCTCGTGGGGATGACGGGCGAGGACCTTTCGTTCCCCGTTTGTGGAAATAATGGAGAAGACTGTTTGTTATTTTTCCCAGACATGCCGCAAACTAGCAGATATGGCCGGGGCATTGCAGGTTATGACGCTGGCTCAGGGAAACAAATACAAAGAGGAGCATTTTATCAAGAAGCAAACAGCAGAGCTCCGTTTGAAGCTGCTGGGAGCTCATAGGTCACAGGGGTGCTGGGGCTGCGTTTGACCAGCTCATCTTGAAACAGGGGCTTGGATGTTCTTTGTTCACTCGCACTAGGCATGCAGAAGCAGAAACGAGTCTCGGCTCTGGCCTGTGTAAAGTCATTTGTACAGCTTCAAATTAAGTTGGGTTCAGCGATTTCCCCGGAATGTAAAACTGACCTCACTGAAACATGCTTATTAGGCGACTCTTGTTTGGTTAGAAGAAAAATAGCTCAAAGGTAAAATTATAGTATCATTGTAGTAGTGCAAGTAAAAGCGATTTCTGGTGGTGTCTTTTGTTATGTTGCAATAAAATAGAAACAGTGTTAAAGAAAATAAACTTTTAAAGTGTAAATAGCAGAATATAAAGAATATTGAATGATTGCAGAAGAAGAAAAAGCCTAAAGGTATTTTCTGTCTTATTTTCTTTTTTTTTCCTAGGCTGGGTAATGGAGAGAGGGCAGTAAAAAAACAGCCAGTCGAAGTCAAATTGCCACAGGAACTAAACGTCAGAGGAAGTCACCTAGATGGGAATTTTGCCAATGTAGTTGGCATAGCCTGTGGAAGCCGACACTCCTTCATATGGACCGAAACTGGGCAGGTCTACAGTTTTGGAAACAACTTTTATGCTCAGCTAGGCTATGACTTCCAGAGGGCTGACTTCAAAGAGAACCAGGTATGAAGATTATGGTTTCTTTACAGTTATGCACAAATCGTTACCCAATCCATCACTACTCCCAGTGGCTTCTGATTATCTTAAAGTTGTTTGGGTCATATTTACATAAACGCAATATAGAAAAATGAAGAGCCGGGAAAGAAGGCTTAGGCTAACACAGCTAAGAATGTTGTGAAGCCTATTGGGCAAAAATCTAAGAAGTATTGAGAGGAAGAGTTTCAATCCAGAAAGAGGTTCACAGTGTTTGTGTAATTGCTCTCACTGATGGAAGAGGGAGCCAAAATTTACACACTGCAGATGCAAAATTAATATGATTTTTTAATGACCCCTTTAAACATCCACACAGTCTCTTAGCTATAATATTAGTTTTTAATTCACTGTTGGGAGTAGGGGCAGGTCTACGTGATGGATACCTCAAGAGCCTGGATAGCTTCTTGTTAGTTGCCTCTCAAGCTTTGTCCTTACGTGGCTTACTATACAGTAGCATGCTGCTGAACCACACAAATCCTAAATTAAGTGCTGTGGAATTGAAATTGGCTCTCTTGTGAAGTGTTCCACTTGCATTGGAGCTTAATTTTGCCTACTCATATCATTTGATTCAGTCCCTCAGTCCCTCTTTTGCTCGCTGCAGCCCATCGCTCCCTCTTCCTTCTCATGCAAAATAAGCCCATTTACCACAATGTGGCAGTGTCTAGGTGAATGATTGCCACTCAGCACTTGATATATGGGTATGTGCTGCTGTGTGCATGTGTGCTGGATACATTATATTTCCAACAGATTCTCCCAGTATTTTGCAGCAACATTAGTGCGTTATACACTATGTGAAGCTCTTTAGGCTCATTTTCGTAATGAGTGGATTTAAAAATAGATTAATATGTTTGTACTTCATTCTACTCTATTACTTGGCCCAAATATTGTTGCCTGTTTTGTCATTACTGAAAGGCTGGCTTTTACAGTCAGTTGTTTAAGACAAACATCCAATAGAGAGGCCTTTCAGTTCATATGAGACAGGCCTCATACATGAGGGCAAAAGGTAGCCAGCCACCAAGCAGTGTGTCAAGGTTCATGGGCTTAAGCTCTTACCTGTTCTCAATGACAAAGGCCATTTGGATCTGCATGACTGCTCCCACTTCTAAAATCTTGTTACTAAAGAAAAAACATGGGCCCCAGTGGTATGACTATCCCAGACTTATATGTTCATCTCTCTAGGCTTACTTGTGGCCTCTGATTGCCTCAGGTGGAGACCCAAACCTGGCCCTGTCCGTTACCACCCAGCTCCCACTTCTTTCATCCCTTTGCCTTTCTGTATACACTCTCCTTCTGAAGGACCAGACAGGCTGCTCCATCTTCAGCTGTCCTCCAGTCTCCTGACTATATGATACTGGCTATTGTTGTAAAGAATCTATAGGCTGGAACTGCCTGCTTCACCCCTAAGGCTCAGTTTCCCCTTTTTGTCTGAAATGGAGTGGTAGCAAAGCGCAGAGATCTAAGAAACACTATATTCTGTTCTTTATTGGCCCAGTGATAAGGTATTGGGATTCCGCTCACACCTGCGAGCCCTTTGTTCAGGCCCGCTATGGCGTTTCACCTGCACCAGACAAGGTTAGACAGATCGCCTATTTAATGGTTTGATTGACATTATTTTAATGTAACACCGTGGGGAGCGATACGTCTTTGAACAGAAAAGAAAGTTAACCTTATATTTCTCCAGGACACCCCCCCCCCCGCGCCATTAGAACAATGACATTGGCATTTTCTTGGGATTTTGTTTGCACATAGGACATTCTGAGGTGCCTTATATAATACATTATAATAAAAACTTGCAGTAGGTATTGTGGTAGCTTTTTTTTAGTATCAAGCCTGCATCATATACCATACATCTACTTCTTTTTTTCCATTTATTGATTTTTTTCCCTCTGAACACTGCATAGCTTAGTTTCTAAGTAGGCTAACACCTTCTAGCTAAAAATGTACCAGTGTATTTCTACAAAAGTAAGCAAAAAGCGACCAGGGGAGCAAGAAAATAAACTCTGTTCCTAAGTGTGACACGTGTGCAGCTTGAGCTTGGCATGGCATCCGTGTTCAGCCTGGCTGCGCACAACTTGTTTGAATGTCATATTTATCCCTGTGTTTTGTCAGAAAATTAACTTCCTGTGAGTTTGCGGCAGAGCCGAGCATATGGCCACAGCTCTCTGGAGATGACAGCCTAGCGGAGCGGGAGCTCGCCGGTGCCGCTGCCCTGCTCTGGCGGCAGATGCTCCGGGCTTCTCCGCGATTAAGTGGAGATCATCACTGTTTTCTTTGAGCACCGCTGTGCCTTGTACTCTGAAGTGTTCAGTTAATCACTGCCTGCCTCCCTGCCTTTTCCACGCAAGCTGCCAAAGCACTCATTAAGTTTGAATCTCCCTCTTACTGCTCGCTTGCTCACCGGCTCGATATATTTTGTGACTGAATCTTAGCAGTCACCCTTTCTGAGGGTTTGTTGCACCTGTTTACATGAAGGATTCTACAAAGGCAGTATTTTTTGTTTGAGTACTGTTTGTGATTCTATCTCTAGCCATGGTTCATTTGTTGTGTATCTTGTGTATATAAGAAAAAGCCACTCTATAAGTTACCGAATGTTTCCTTTAGCTTGTGAATACCGATGTGCTCTGTTTTTCCCCAAGTGCCAAAATACTTCCTTCACAGGCCTCTGAGGGAAGTGAAGTCTGTTCCACAGTTGTGTTTATTCTCATTGAGAAACACTGATAGTCACATTTACAGCTGTAAAACACGACTCTGTTATCCACTGAGTATGTTGAATGTATAGAATCAGAGCGCAGGTATAATGTAAGTCATAATATTAAAATAAAATAAAAAAACTGAGCATTTGCTAACTCCCACCGCCTCCCAGGCCAAGTATCTCACATCCAGTTATGTTGCATCTCCTACACAAACAGCCATGTATTGTTATTGTGAAACATTGTGACACGCTTTAACCCTGATTGATCTTGATCTCCGACACAAATAATAATGTGATTACAGGCTTTTCTCTGCCTCTGTCTTCGCTGCAGTGGAAAATAACATTAGGACTATCCTTTCATGTTAATCGCCTTGGTTGGAAGTATACCTCAGTGCACCAATAGGCCTCAGTAATGCCTCCTTTCTTCTAAAAAAACCCATCCAAAATAACCTATTTGCAGCACACCCACACACACGTTGCTTAGCTGTGTAACACTGTTATTCTGCACCAATCAAAGCCTGGCTTGCTTGTCCTGGTGCGGTGATCATTCCCCCCACAATAGCGGGATGGCATTACTGCGCTTTTGAAAGCATTTGCATGGCAAAGCAATAACATGCACCTTGTAAATAAAGGAATTGATCCTGTTCATCTCAGGTTGGATTTCCTGGATAAAGCTGTGGAAAATGGATCCCTGTATCGTATCGCGTCAATATACACACTCTGTTTCCTCATCCTCAAGTTTACTCTGCAGTAGGAATCTTCTTCTTAATCTCGTCTGTCAGGCTGTCAGGCAGACACAGAGAAATGTTTGCGATTCCCTCTGCTACACTGGTTACTTGGCAGACAGCTGATTAGTGCCAGTTTGCCTCGTTCCCAGTATGCAGATACCCAGATAGAAAGCTGGCCCCATTCATTGAGTCCAAGTACCAAAATAGCAATTGCTGTTCTCAATCAACTATGAAGAAATGGGTTTGCATTGTTGGAAGAGGTTGATTTGAGACTTTTTGAAGAGGCTCTTGAAATTACTTTCAAATCAGCCCGAGCTGACAGACAGCTGGTCGAGCATCATGCTGCTGTGTGCGGTCAGCAATAAAGAATAATGTTGTTTTTTTCTTTTCTTTCTTTTCTTTTTTTAAAATCATAACTCATACTATATGAGCATTACGCCTTTGCACCCTCTGGGCCCGCGCATTGTTATTGGTCACAATAGACGTTTATCTCCTCTACTTAGATTTAAATGTATTCACAACTGTACAAATTGCCACTGTGCTCTTGGCAAGGTACAACTAATTTTTAGACGAGGAAATTCCTTGTCAGGAGCAGCCAAGGGAGAAGGTGTCAGATTGATACCAGAAGTACACTAACGGCTGTGCGGGAGCATAAGCGTTTGCTGCGCTTCGGTGGCGGTGCGTTTGATTTCAACACTGACCACCAGTGATGCCAACCCTGTAGTCCTTATATGAGCTGCCTCTTGAGACATAAACATAGACAGCCCTCCCCCACATCTCACTCAAACTGATGCTGCTGAAGTAAAGAGACAGAGAGAGGAAGAAAGTGAGACACTGCCAGACAATAAAGCCGTTGTAGAGTATATACTCTACTTGCTTGCCTATTGTTACACTGCGGTAAGTGGGAACTCAGTGTGGGTGTACAGTGACCTCAGCTACTCTACCCATCTCCCCTAGGAGGACCTCAAAGGGCACTCGTTCAGTTCCTTATTGCACGCCCTGGGCTTTGCTGCAAAATGAGAGACAACAAAGAAAAAAGAAAAAAGAAAAAGAAAGGGAACCGAGGGAGGTAGTCTCAACTTTACAGGAAGGCTAACCTGTGCCTTTGGAAATCCTGCATCTTTTTAAAAGTGCCTATCTTCCTGACTCTTAACGGTATCTGACAGAGTTTTTCGGGGCTGGAAGTGCTCAGTGTGATGACTTCTGTTGCACTCTGGAAATATTCTTTTTACCATAAAATGTTATGCAAAGCTTACCCTTAAAATGTGTATTGTTTTCTCAGTGTGAATGAGAGGATATGGTGTTTGTGACCTTGTTTCAGTTTGAATCATGTGCCCTGCTGTTTCCCCAATATGCCCCTAGTGTATGTTATGCTGAAAGCACATTTAGTATCAATAATTCTGTACATTTCCTTCTGGAAAACTAATTCTCATAATAGGATTTTGTCAATGTGATTTGAATAATGATCTCAAAACATCCCATTTTAGGCTACTTAACTAAATAGAATATTACTGATTGCAATACTTATCCATGGTAGGGGTTTTGGTAACCTTCTTTTCTGTTTCTTGCCAACAGCCAATTTTCTCTCAATTAAAGCATGATATTAGCACTCAGTAGGGCATAAACAGAAATAACCGTACACTGCTGAATATCACGCCTTGATTATGAGCTTAAGAGTGGGTGTACAGATGGATTCTGTTTCTATACTCCTATTAGAGAGCTGCTGTTTATATGTGTGTGCATATGTGTCTGTGTCAGAGAAATGGAGAGGGAATCGCTGCCTGCATGTGCAGGAGTGTGTGTCTTTGGCAGCAGGAAAAGCTGGAAGTTTTCAGCTCTCTCCTGTTAAAACCTCTGGAAAGGGAGGGCAGAGGTAATAAAAGAAAAAAAAAAGAAAAAGTCACAGGTATAGTAAGAAGGAAAAGTGTATCGTTACATTGAGAGCCAGTCAGTGGCAATGCCAGTTGGCCAAAGTTAGCAGGAAGCTGTCCTAGTAAATGGCAGCAGCTGCTCGCAGTTCGAGAGAGCATGTCCCAGTCAGAGGAGAAAAGCGATGGCATCTACATTAATACTACCTTAATGGCCCATCTGGCGCTCCGTAGGGTCCCTGGCTGCGCCACCGACTCATAGGCGTTTGACAGGCAGTCTCCAGCGCACCAGACGCGCATGGCATGCCAAATGGCTGGGAGACGCCTCCGTGGCGCACAGATCTGTCAAACTCTCTGACGCTGTAGTCACACAGGCAAGGGAAGTTAAGGCAAGTTTTCACACGTGATTGGTTCTTGACATGGATGGGGAGAGGGAGGGGGCAGAAGGAGAATGACTGGCTTGTCTGTCTCTCTTTCCTCCACAGCCTCCTTAAATGCAAACACACATATGTGCACACTCACAGGGCATGCACACATAATCATTCACACCCTCACACGTATGCGCACGCTCTTCATACTAGATGCTAAGTTGCCATGACCAGATTAAACCTCAATGAGAAAGCCAGGTTAAGATTAGCCAGTGGTGGATTCACTGTGCTCTGATGGCAAATGGAGATAACAAATATTATTTTCGCTGCAAGTCACAGCCTCTCTCTGTAAACAAATGCTGGAACTAATTGCTTCATTGGAAGAAATTGTGGAAGGTCTTATCAAAACACCACAGGGGTTTCTGGCTATAATTGGCATAATTGGTTGACACAGCAGGCTGTAGTCCATGATGTGGCACAGTGATGCACTTTATGGGGAATGACTGATCATGGCTTTAGGACTATAGATTGCCCTTCTAGATACTTAAACATACGGTATGAGAAGTGGTTAGTTAACGTGCAAAAGCAGGACCTGCACGCTAAACGATTTTGTCATATCTTCACCTCAAGACTGAGCTTTATGCCATAAACCAAGAATATACAGTTTAAAGGGTTAATGGGAGACCTCAGTCCCTTTTACTAGTGGATGATGAATTCCAACTCTACCCCATGTGCTTGGCCTTTACATCAGCTCAGTTGAGCTGCACAATACTGACACAGTGGTTTCTGTGCGAGCAGGCCACATTCTGCATTACACACTCGCGCAGATCACTGCAGAAGTCTGTATCACACTGCTGCGGGGAAACTATGGCTTCTTTCTGTATGAGTAAACTGCACAAAAAAAAAGTACAGCTGAAGGTACTTTAAAATATTTGCCACCATTCTTTCTCACACTTTTTCTTAAGGACATTTAGAGAGATAGCAGCAGTTCAAAAATGGAACGGAAGGTTCTTTAGAAAATACATTTCAAATGGCTTATCCAGTAGGTAGCCCCAGAGGACACCTCAGGGATAAAACTTGGCAAGAAAGGAAGATAGAGGGGAAAAGAGTGGAATTGGAAAGAAGACACAGCCGTGACTAAAACAGTAGAAATATAAAGGGAAAAGGTATCCTCTTAACCTGCTGACGCCTCTTCAGAGGAATCACAGTGCTCCGTATCAGCATTCGCTCTCTGAACATTTTGCTGTGTTCTGTGTTTATAGGAAAAGCGTAGATCTGCTGATGTCTCTTGCCTGAGAGTGTCTCAACGTTAGGCAGCCAGTGCAGGTGATTTCAAAATGACTATCTTCCCGTCACACACTGTTCCAGTTTAGATTCGCTGTTTTATATTTTTTGTTACCAATGTTGATCTTGTTTTTTTGGGTTTTTTTTTTTCAAGTAAATCGGTGTATTGTGCGTGATTATAGTAAAAGCAGGAGTGGGTTGCATTTTCTGTCAGCTCAGCTCCATCTGTAA